AGTCAAATATAGCAGAAATCATGCTTTATCACCAGAAACCATGTATCTTACTCAGGTTTAACAAGTAACTTCATGAATTAAAACAAGGGTTTACGCTCCCCAGAAGCTATAAACATCTGTTTAAACATGTTAGGGATTATTAGGGCAGTACCTCAGCCTTGTTAACTGGAAGTGTGAGCCAGGTTTGCAGTCCAAAGCAAGCATAAGAACTGTGAGGTAGCGAAAAAGGTGGGGAAAAGCTTTTTCTAGCAGAGTGAAGATTAATTGGACATATACAATAACTACACACAAGCCTTTAAACTTTCGTTCAAATCTAGTCCAGCCATAAAACCACAGCTGTTCAAGCTAACAAAGCATTATAGGTCTAGACCTGCAAATGAGCAGTACTAGGAATTAAAACCTGCAGTAAAAGTCTTAGGGCACATTTTGTCATCACATGTGTGCTTCCATTGAAAACAATTCTATGTTAAGGTTTAGACTCTGGTGTTCCTTATGAATGCCCTCAAATTGTAGGACTGAACAATAATCACTCTTGGGTTCTCAAATACCAATATAATGTTGTAGGATTAAGGAAACTGAGAGACAGTTTGTGTCGGGTGTCTGAAACAAAGCCCTTAGTATTTTCATTATATTCTTCCTTTTCCCCCTTTTTTAATCATTGTTAGATAATTAAGCTTTGGCCTGTCAGTTAGGCCTATTATGCAGTAATCATTTTCTCAGCATTTCTTTGTTATCCCTGCACCTTGGTGAGTCAAATCTCGTGTTTTTTTTTTTTTTTTTTTTTTGTTTTGTTTTGTTTTTGTTTTTTTTTTTTTCATAACGAATTGAAACTTCTTTATTCATTCATGCAGCTGAAACCTGTAGTTAAGTTACTTGATTATGTCAACCTCTGTTTCTTATATCTGCCGAAGGTGCTGCTAAAGATGCTTTTCATTCTCAAGATTCTGATCACATTTAAATTCATCCAACTTCCTTCCCCCCAACACTTTGTATACAGACTACTGCCATCATTTTCAAGCTGCAAATTTCACTGCCTTACCTCACGTTTGGTTGAGTAGTTCTCAGTTTCAAATGATATTATTTCCTATGACAAAAGTAGCCTGTTAATTACAGCCTAATATTACATATAAATAATTTTTTTTTTTAGTAGTTTGTTATCCAGAGTTGTCTTTCAGGGATCCTGGGTGTTTTGCTGCTCTGTAGTCTTCAAAGAGGGTGGGTGGAGTAACGTGAGGAACAGATGGAATATTAGGTAGGTACAAAAAATGATGCTTTTGAGAAGAGATCTTTTGACAACTGTGTGGTGAAAAATTTCTTGAATTTAAGAAACTGCAGGAAAATGGTACAAGCATTTCACTCTTTTTAGTATGTATTCTGTGATGTGGAAGGAGCACAGCAAGCAGACATTAGAATGCTAGAAATCCACCATCCATAGCTTGTTAAGTGCCGGGCTAAAAAAAAAAAAAAGCCACAGACAAATCACTGTCATAGAAATATGCTTAAGCCTTTTGCCAAGAAGAAAATTTTGCTGCCAGGTTTTTGAATGATTTCAGTGTATCCTCTGTTTTGAGAGTATTACGATTTTAGGTTCTTATGTTATCTTTTCAGTTTCTTAAATATAACCTTTTTCTTATTAATAAAAAAAAATCCTTAAGTGATGGAACAATAATCAATTTAGAACACTGTGTATTTTCTATGAATGTTGTTTGGGAGGGTGAGTATTTGAAGGCACCAGTGTTGAGGGGACTTCAGTGGTTAACGTAATTGCCATTTTTCAAATGAAAATAGTAAATGTAGGAACTCCTGAGTCGCAGGTCCTTGACTAATTCTTCATCCTAGGCTTCTATTTACACCTTTTGGTCAGATAATGGTTTGGAAGAATTTAAGACACTTTATAAAAACAGTATTTATCAACAGTAATTTTGTGGAAGATACACAGAAGCTGTCTAAGGATCAAAATTAAGCCTATTTGATCTATTCTGCAACTTGGTCTGTCTTCCTTACGACATTCATGAATAGGTTAATTTTGCTGAAAAGAATATTTTGCATTTTTTGATCCTTTTGAAATATTTATATATGCTGAAAACAAAACCAGACCTATTCTAATGTTGCAAGTGGCATTGCTGCAATGTGTGTGCATACATGTATCTCCAGCTAGAGTGCTTCCAATCTGATGTTTTTTCTGTCTGGAGTCAGTATGATAAACACATGACAATTGGGAGAATGTGGTCGATTTTCTTCAGAAAGACGGGGACATCCGAGCAGTTGCTCAAAACATGACAAAAATCTACCTAGATAGAACCTTGTGTTTTCAATTCTTAAATGTGCATACTTGTGAATAAAATCCCCACCCCAACAACAAGTAAAAATCCCCCCAGTCTTTTAATTTTGGACGATGTGAACGATGAGTTTATAAATAACCATGGATCACTCGTTAGCAGTGTGTGATCAGCTTGCTAATATTCAGAGAAGAAGTGATACAGTGAGGTTGATCAGACATAAGAACATCTCAATAAACCTGTTTGAAAATGGATCTCTTCTAGCAGTGCAAATCTCATATTTACCCTAGAAATTTGGATATTAAAGGTAGTAATATGAATTCATAAAGTGGTTATTCTAACACAACTTTCAGGAAATTGCAAGTGTGGTTGCTCTCTACAGAGTAGTAGAATTGGGCCAGAAAATACAGAAATGAGTATCCGAACTGTATTCAAGCATCAGAAAAGTGGTGAGTTGTCGATCGCTGAACGTAGTAGCAGAGCACTGAGAACCCTGTCTCTGTCTGCACAACCAGATTTGTTTGATTTGTGCACATAAATTCAAGATAAAAGATTAATTTGGCTCTCAGAAAAACAAAGCAAAGAGCAAAAATGCATTTGAACATTATTCAAAGAAGTTATTAGAGGCAAACAGGAAAATGGCAAAAATGGTGCTTTTTAGTGATGCATTTGACAATTTTGATTCTGACAGATTGAGTTTTTTCAAGCACTTATTCACTTCCCGCTTTGTTTTGAAATTTAATAGTCTAAGCGTGTTTAAAAATTTAATGACAGATTTTTTATAGTCTCAAATTTAAATTCAGAAAAGCAATGACAACTGCTGTAGTGCAAAGCTAACACACCTAATATCAGTACCTGAAATTAAGTTTGTTTATTGTCTAGCATGCAAATTATAGGGTGTATGGTAGAATAACTCTTTTTTGATATTGTTTTGGTCGTAGTGATGCAAAGTTTTTAAAAACTATTGTTAAAGGTAGAAATTGACAAAATGCAACCAGTGACAGATTGTAGCAGGAATAACATAATTTTTTAGTATTAGCTTGTGATTTTAGGAAATTGTTGAATCCTATAAATCTTATTAATTCTCAGAAATGGCAGTCCCAGCCTTCGGACGAGCCTAGATGCACACTCAGACACCAGTTAAAACATTCAGGTACACAATCATTTTTGTGCCCTTAGGCTCCATCCTTCCTCCAATCTCTCCTTTCTGACGATCTCTCCGATACATCTGCCAGTTACGAGTCCGATGCAGTTGACATTACGGACTGTCCTGTGGATGAATGATCTGCCCGTGCTTTTTCTTCCCGTTACCTGCCTCCCTCTCGGTATTTGTTAATTTACAGCGAGGCGCGTTTATTTTGTGCAGTTCCCTGAGCAGGGGTCCGCAACAAGTACTCGCAGTTGCCATGGTGACATAATAGCTATCGAAGGATGTCGCAGGCTAAAAAGCACGATTTTAAAAACATGTTGTAACAACATAATGTAGATTTGCTTTCTTGGAGAGCGCTCTTTTGTCTTTGGCTTCTGTTAGCCATCAACCTACTCGCGCAGTAATCACGACTTCATCCTTGGATTTCAAACAGCATGGCACAGATTGGAGCTGACTGGGTAAATTAAGAGGGAATTAATGAAAAATAAGGGAAGCGAGACTTTCCTGGAAGCACGTATCATGGTACTGAGTCTAAAATGGACAATGTGGCTGTTGAATGACGTGTAGCAATATGTTGTTAAAAGGAATACCAGGTTTCTGAATTCTGGTGGTAAAGAAGGAAACGAGAAACTTGCGTGGAAGGAACTGGAGCTACAGTGGAGCAGGAAGGAAATAAGAAAAGTAAGAAATACACATCTGTTGATAAAAGGGGCTTTTTTTCTTTGCTTCTGTCACACGCAGTTGTTGTTCCCCTCTGTCCCCCACCCCAGCAAACTGTTTGCTTATTTCTCGTTTGGCTGTGGCCCACTCAAGAAGTCACCTTAGATGCTTGCAAGTGAGTTCCTTGTCATGGCCTGCCCTCGCGATTTCTACCCTTATTCAGTTAAACTACTAAGACCATTTTCATTGTCAAATTCAAGGCAGAGGCAGGCTACTAACATACTGCTATGAGATATGGTGCTGGAAGGAAGGTACTTCATATAGGAGACTTGTAACTAAATACAGTGAGGAAGATGTGGAAGAAACTATGGTGTGTATTTATACTGCAACTCTAACAACAAAGAAAAATGGAAGACAAAGCAGCACGTTTACAGTTATGTCGCCCTAAAGGATATCTAAGCTGAGGTAGTAAAGGCATTCTCAGAAATAGTAACAGATCACACCGGTTAAAACAAAGCCTGGATTTATCATACCCCAACAATTCAGAGTGGTGTACGCAAAGTAATTTCACACTATTCAAATGGCTTCCAAATGTATGGTCTGCTTCTGTTTTCAGCTTCTTCCTAATCTTTCTGCTTTTCCTCCTTTCTCCCTCTCCCAAACACCTCACATTCTCTGGATTTCAATATATGATGTTGATCTTCCTATCTGAAGCGTGCCTAGACAGGTGATAAGAAAAAATAGGCGTAACTTTTTCATGTATTTATTTTTTAAATCATAAAAGATTATCTCTGTAGGAGGCCTGGGATTTAATCGGGTATTTGGATAAACATATCCTTCTAGTTATGAAAGATTCCATTGCTTTGCTTTAAAATCCTAATTTTCTCAATATACTTGTAAACGTTTTACAGTTATTTCTTGTTTCCATCGTAACACCTGGAAAGTGAAGAAAGGCGCTCACTGTGTTAACCAGCGGCTGAATGCATGGAATTAGCACTTGCAAGGTGTGGAGCTTGGGAGTTTTACTGTTGACCAGAACACCTGAAGGATTTCACCTATGATGAAAAACATTCCCTGCCTCCAAACCTCAGACTCACAATGAGTAAGGCAGGTTCACAAGGAGGGGAGAGGCAGAAGCAGCTTGTGCAGGTCTGCTGTGGGGCAGAGAACGAGCCCTCCTGCCTGCTGGCACAGCCCAGTGCCCTGGATCTCTTTTTAACATTCCTTAAAATAACATTTTCTTGATTTAGCATCATTAACATCTAATCTTTTTGTGCTTTCAGCTGAAATTTTGCTCTAATTTTAATGTTTAATTGATTAATTTATTAAAAAAACAAAAACAAAAACAAAAAACAAAAAAACAAAAAACACAACTTTCTCTGGTTACAGTACCTTTACTTTCCTGCAGAATTGCAAATTTACTGCTGTAGACCCAGAATGCAATTTTGTAATGCTATTCAAATTATCTAGGATGTGGCATAGCACAATAATAGTAGTAAAATATCATGAGATGTTGTAGCCATACCAGCAAAATACGGCAGAAGTACTCTCATACAGAATACATTACTTGGAGGCAAAAATTAATTTCCCAAAATGAGAACTCGATAGCTTGATTGGTCTTTGCTGACTGCTTTTTGGAACTAGGATTGTGATGCGGTACCTTGCTAACTTAAGGCACTCCAATTTCAATGAAATCAAGCTGCTTCGCTGTAGTTTTAGCTTAATTCTGAGTACTGCATTTTTGTTTTTACTGTAGTGCTGTATGGTTAAATGATAGCTGGGAATAATATGTTGCACTAACTGCTAGCAAGATGATTTACTTACAATTTATAACTATTTAATACATGTGAAGATTAGTGCAATATTATGATCATTTTAAGAAGTGACATTAATTTCAGTATTCAATTTAACTGCAGTTGAACTATAGATGTCCAAATAAAACCATATGTTCAGATCCTTTTCTATGCAGTGTAAATGCAATGTTTTAAATAAGCAAAATCCTAATTAGTTACTTAACACAAAAATGTATCTCTATACTTGAGATCCATGCATGGATCACACACTATAGCAAGTCTGGAATAATATCACATAGACAAGCCCTCGGCTCTAAGAAAGCATAAGTATGTAATTTGCCTAAAATTTAGCTTGAGCTATTTGATGTTTGCAATGCAAAATAAGAAGAGGAATCAAAGGCAAAATGAAGGGAAATTTAGCCCTGCTCAGATTCAGTAAGAAGGTGTGACTTGTGTACTACCCATCTGCATAAATACTCAGAGTGACAAACTGAAGTGTCAGATGTAATTACAGGTAGTAGTAACTTCTATGCAGGACTTAGTTACCACATTCTGCACACATCCATGTACTGCACTGGAAATCCATAGGCTATTTTATCTGTTGGCTTGATATAAAGAAATAATGTAAACAAGTCGCTTAATTTTTTTACAAGCCTTGCTGGTAGCGTTATAATTTGCTTCACATTCCTTAACATTTCCACATGACTGAAAAAAATAAGGAATACTCTTTGATTTAACAATGACATATTAGAAATGGGAGCATGTGAAACATGCTGGTGTTTTGCAAAAATAATTCTCCTGAAAGTTGCTCTGTGCTTATGCTGTCGCCAGTGCTCTGAAATTATACTTCCTTTGTCTATGCAAATTCTGCAGTGAAGTTTTCTCTTTTCCTTCTGTGCATTTTGCACTCATGTTCATATATCTGTCATCAGAGCATTAAAAAATCATAAAAAAGCTTGGTGGTGTAACAGTCCTGACAGTATATTTTCAGCTTGCTTTTATTTATTTTTTTTTTCTTGTTCAATTCACAATCAATGTTTGGAAACATCAAAGTTTCCAAGATGAAGAAGGTTCATTTTTTTTTTCTTTTTTTTTTTTTTTCTTTTTTTTTAATTTAGATCTTTTATTTAGCATATTTCTAGCAGCTGCGTGACACTAACCCCCCCCAGGCCCAGAAGCTGGGTCAGGATCCTCGGAGGTAGCAGAGGAGACTCCGTGGTGGGGTTGCTGTCTCTGAGGCTCCTCCTGCCCATGCCAACTCTGCTCGGCTCCTCCCAGGTCATCGCTCAGGCACCACAGTGTGATGATCACAAAAAGATGGAGCTCCATGGTAAAAGCATTAGGCTTTTTGCCTTATTTCCTTGGCAAGCTGCTGCAGGCCTTCGTGTCTGTATCTCGGCAGAGCTCTGCCTCGCCACTGGTGTGTGCCCCGTGGCTGGTTTTGTAGGGGTCAGCCCTGTGGCACCCAGCTGCAACGACTGTGCAGCACTCCTGAAAGTGTCTGTGCCCAGGCGTGTGTGCAGATGTCTTCTAGAAAATGAGCAGCTTACCTAGGGGATGAATCGAATTTGGGTCATGTAGCTACTTGATCAGGACAGCACAAAACTAGGGAGTTCAACTCCTCAGTGGCCTTGCCAGATCTCGGGCTGCTCGCACAGCACCGTCCTGCTGATCAGCCGGGGAGAAGATCTGAACCTTGCTCCTGCCTCTTCTGCCATTCACGTGGATTACTAGATGTAGTAACACGTCTTCTGTATGGCTAACCAATTACTATTCCTGTTGGGCAAAAAACCAAAGGAAATGTCCCTGCAAGTCCTGTGTTCATGCGTGCTGCCATCTCCTATTAGCAATGGCAGAACGCAGTGGGACTTGTGTGACTGAAGGATGTAACCCAGCATGGTCTTGGGTACGCTGTTACGGCTCACTTCTAACACCTGGACAAGATCTTTTTCAGAATGCTATTGTCTAGCCTCATAAGTCTTTCTAATTTGATGTTATTTGATGTGAAATATGTGTAAGTAATGTTAATTATGCAATAGTTTTTGAAGAATATGTTTTGATTGTACAGTGGAAATGTCAGTCCCATTAACAATCATTATTACCTGTCAGAAAGTAGAAGAAGCTTTGAATGAATGTTAATTTTTTTCTCTCATGCAGATGCATACCAATGTTTCATACACGTTTTGTGATCGCTAAAACAATCTTTTTTTTTTTCTCTCAAAGTTTTCTTTACTTGGACTGAGGCCAGAAAAGAGAGAATGAGGCTCTGATTTCAGGCCTCCTGTGAGTCAGCTTGTATTGAATGGTTTTGAAACAAAGCTTTCAATTTTTAGAAAGTGGTTCATCTGCTAAAGTGTTTCCAAACCTTGCTCCCAGTGGTCTCTGGAATTTATTAAGGCAGAGGCAAGAGTTCAAGAAGATTGGAGAGGCGGTTTGGAGGCAGCAGTCCAGAAAGAAGAAACTCATTCTGATTTGTCTTGTTCTATAGCTTAAGCTAGCAGCTTTAATAACCACTTGATCATAGACCCCCTTGGCATTTTTTGTCTTTAGTATCATCCTATGGATTTGGTGAACTTCTATTTTTGAACTTCTGTGAAGTCTGGCCCATGTTGCAAGAACTGCCTGCTACTAGGAAAAGCCATTTTAAATCAACTCGGGGGTGATTGGCATAGGATTCAACAGGACTTCAATCCAGTTCTGTTGTTGGCCTGCTAAACTGTGGGAGTTTGAGAACTAAATTTAAGAGTCACTGAATCTGGGTTCAGTGATCTGTTGCCATCAGATGACATAGTTCCTCTAAAAAAACCTCTCAATTTGTATATTTAAAATTCTTCTTCTTTTGCTGCAATTACTCAAAGTAGGGTGCTACTCAGTTTTGATTTCCAGACTTAACTGTGACAAAAACCCCTACATTTACTGAAGTGTTTTAGATACTTTCACATTCGGTGCTCCCTTTCACCCAAGCATTTACTCATCAACTAACTCTAGAGGATGGGTGCCCATCTCCTCAATTTTTTTCCAGCCACCAAGGTCCCAACTCGTAGCAGAAGATTGTGTTGTTATCCCTGATGTTTGTCACCTTCCATTCAATGCTACTGAGATTTTCCCCCTTTTTTATTGAGCACATGTAAAATTTCAACAGAACAAAAAGTTGCCATGTATATTATCATGAAGAAAATTATCAGCAAACATAAATTTGCGTGGAGAAAAAGAAATAGAAGAGCATTAGAGGGCGCAAAATTATATTCTGTATCCCACCCTTCTATAAAGCTTATTTTATTTTTTTGTACACTGTCCTTCTCACTGATGATCAGGACCGAGTGAGAATTATCAGATTTTCAGTGCAAAATTGTCTTTTTTTTTGTTTGTTTGTTTTGTTCTTGCAGGAGACCTGCAAGCTGAAAATGAGGCCAATTCTTCTACACTTTGCTGTTTTTTCATTCCCTGCTTACTTTAACTGTTGCAAAATGTAGTAGCAGGCAACTGGGTGTCTTCTTGTTTAGGTTTAATTAAATACAAATCCTCCCAGTTGCCCGGCGTATTGTCTGGTTTCAGGAGGAGTGAGGAAGTAGGCAGGGTTATACCGTGCAGTCTGCCCACAGTTAGGAAGAATGCTGTGGGAATGAACAGATAGAGAAGAGGAAAACAGCAGTAACGCTAATTCCAAGCCAGGTTTTCATTAAAAAAAATGCTGAACATGTGATTTTTTTTCTGAATTTATGGCTATTTGTTCACACTTGTGTGAAGTACTGACAATAGGGAAGTCTTTTCTGGGCAGATAATGTGCCTTGCTTGATTTCTTTGGAGTACTGTTCTTTGATGTTTGTGTAATTAAGGATCGGTCCATATATTTAAAGCCATATTTAGTCACTTAATAGGCTGCAATAATTATCTTTGGAGACCTAACTTTTTTAGAATACTTAATTGTCAGCGTTTCGGGAATCAGATGGAATAAGGTGTTAAACAACAGCAACATGCTTTGTGAGCATTAATGTCATTAGCGAACAGCAGGGGATAGCCGGCTACCTGTACGCGTTTCAGTCTGCTGCTTGTGGGTAATTGAAATGACTTTTACCAGGGAAGAAAGGCACTAGTGGCAACGGGTAGGAAAATCATTTTTGATTCTCTGATTTAATTGAATTGGATATTCGGGAACACAGTTTCCATTCATAAATAGCTATTTTATTAAGGGAGAGTAGTCCAGGAAGCCTTCGTTTTCAGCTTTTGTGTTATGTCAGATGAAGCATTAGTTTGTGGAAGTATCTGGAATAAAACTCTATATGCCATTTTTCATTCACAAAGGAAAACCCACCAGAGATGCCTCTTTTCCATCAATTAAAAGAATAAATCAGAGATGGGGGACAAAGGTTAGATAAAAGAAACATAAAGCACTTAGGGATGGGTCTTGAATGCATTTGTCCATCCAGAGGGGTGAAGTTCATATAACAAAGAATGTGCATTTTGGATGTTTACTTAGAATATTTAATAACTGTATATTTTCCTCTTTTTTACATACATGTCCTAAAAATAAGTACTTGATTTGCAATAATCTTGTACGTGTAAGTTTATCTAATAATACTGCAAATGTAGCAGCATTATGCTGCTTTGATCCCGTCATTAGGAAATGATGGGAGCCCCTTGCAGGTTATGTATGTATAGTATACATAATCTGTGTACTCTTTAAAATAGCATCCAGTTTCACTGTTATCGTTAAATTCCGCGGTATGGGATTGCCATAGTTGTGTATGAATTGTGAGCTCCTGGGGGCTGTTTCTGTAACGCCTGGTTACGTTGTCACCGTGCTGCAGGTACTCCGGTTCATTGCAGAATGTGCAAAAACAATGTTCAGTTTTTTAAAACACGACATCAAGTAACTTTTGTATTTTACAGTAATCCTAATACATCAGTGCTTAACATAAATCCTTGCAGGAGCATTTGCTCTGTGAACTCTGAGCATTAAGTACATAGTGTGAGGCAATATGCAACCATACAATCGGTTATATAGGAAGTAACAATGAATATAAATACACACTTTTTAAAAGAACAACAGACATGAATCTCCACTACTTAGATTCTGAGAATGAAATAGCTCATGGGAAGCCTTGAGCTAATAAAGAGTATTTTTTGAATGCAGTGAGTATAAGAGACTTGTAGAAGAGTGGTTAA